CATTTTATACGACTTTTTTCACCATACATATTACGTAATTAAAGATAATTAAGTCTCTGGTTGAGCAAACAAAAATCCCTGACACGGTTCCCTCCGTAAATAAATTCCCTTTCATGTGCTTTAAACCGCATGTTAATTGCTTGATTATTAAAAAAGTTATGCCGATTCAAAGTTAGTCCGACCCGCATCAAACGAAGTGTCATAAATCGGCTGTTCTCTCTCGGACCCCTACGTTTCACGCTAAATAATTGCATAATACACAAATATCGCACCAGAGAGGGTCACAAGTTGCGGTAACATACTCTAACAACATTTTATGACCCAGTGTCATCTGACCAATTAAAAATTTGCTGATTAATATCAGTTTATAACAGAAATTTCTTCAAATCTTAACGTGATTTCCTTTTCGTCTGGTATCGGTCTCACATGTCACGTGACTTTGGGTAAAATTTGAGGCACTCGGTGGGGGGGAAATGGAACGTATTTGCGCACCGTTAGCGGGGTATTTAATCGTTTCACGTTTGAAGATTATTATTATTATCATCAGCATTATTATTATATTATACCAGTGTCACTCTGTCTGTGTATTCGTGTATGAATTTCCGTTAAAATATAAATTAAAATAACGAAAAAATTGGCTTCTGACGGTCTTTTAAAGTCCATGGTAGATGTACAAATTAGAACGGGATATTATATATTTTTTCCTCCAAATTGATATAAATGCTTGACATATTTAAATAGAAATATATTTTTTCCTCCAAATTGATATAAATGCTTGACATATTTTAATAGAAATAAAAGGTATCACTCGATAATTATGATCTGACCTTCTTGACATCTATTATCATGAAAATCATTTACGCACGGCATAGAGATCCAGTTTCTACTGGGGTATACAATAATCCATACTTTGTCCCAGGTTTATTAGTACTGTGTTCGATTTACTGGCGAAAAATTTATTCAAAGCATACACTGCTAATATATATTATTTTTTTATTGATTCATAGAGAAGTAATCATCCTTAAACAATCTAAAATGGTTTAGAAATTTGTCAGGGACACCGTACCGCAAGTCATATAGGCGTTCACATAAAAAAGTTGTCTGTTTTTGTTGTTGTTTTACTTGACATTGTTAGAAAACGAGGTTGAATGTAAAGCAAGCCATTGAATCCGTTCAAAAGTCCATAAACTCAATGTAATATCTATCAGATTAACGGGACAGACAAATTATTTTCACACATTATTGATATTTTAGCAACCATAATTTTAAACAACCCCGTGGTCGTGCGATTTGCCGCTATGCTTAATTGTTTATGGTTTATACATTATGTTACGTACATTGGCCGACAATTTATTATTTAATAAAAAATTGCTAAATAAAAGGTAGACGATATTCATAAAAAATGTACGGTATTTGTACGATACATGAATTACGAGTTGTATGGACCAGTATGGACCGGTAATTCACGGATATATGGAACTACCGATTTCCCTCATTGATGCCTCAACAGGGGGCGGAGCGTTATCGATAATTGACAGGTTACGCGAATAGCAGATAAAAATCGTACAGGTACCGTTTAAAAACGTTTAAAAACAAATTTTTTGGAGTAACTGCTTCCAAAATTAAATCACGAATGTGTTCAGAAATGGTTGATAAATCTACTAAGCAAAAAATCTCATTTTAGGTTTTTTCAGTGATAATTGACTCCGTTGTCACCTTAAATTATGTGGCAAAGTTGTATAAAGTGTAGAAAAATCGTATGTACTGACAGTTGAAGCTTGAAAGTTCTTAATTTTGAATTTATCCAAGATTTCACCAGAATTTTTAATTGACCAAAAGAGATGTTTGCCTGTGTTTTCATAGACTTTATCACAATATCTAATTACATGTGTTTTAATGGCAGTCAAACAAGACGTCAATAAAATGGAAAGTTTACTTGTAGTGCAAGATGTAGAATTAGCAATGAATCTAGCTTTGTAAGCTAGATTCTTAATCTTTAATCTTAATCTTAATTTAATCTTAATCTTAATTTAATCTTAATCAAATAATAAATATAGTTGTTCTTAATATAAAACTAAATATAATTTGATTAGTATACTCATTCAATTTGTTAGGGCTTTTCATATATTAAAAGCATTGATTGAAATTGTATTTACTAGTTGTCGTTGTTTAGTCCATCATCTTTATATAGTGACACTTATATATAAATCTACTGAGCCCTGAGAATTTACTCCAGTTATAAGTTGTGATCGTTTGGTCTCCGTGTAAAGCATTGATTCTCATTAGAACCTGACCACTATTACACATGTAAACAAATAGTAATTTAATGCTTGGAGCTGTTGACAAGTTTATTTCCAATATATGTAGTAAAAGTCCACCTAATAGCAAACAATACATTATTTATATATTTATTATTTTGGTTGTAGAAACAGAAAGTACAAAAAACCAACCTGTTGACATTTCTAAAAGTCGGATTTGTTTAAAATTGAACATCGGTGGGCATACTGAAATTGCTAATTGTGTTCAGACAAATTTTCAAGCATAAGAGTACCTGGACAAACATTAGATGTCAAATATATACATTCGTTTTACATTATTTCTGTTTCTGTTTACATCTGAAACCACGTGGTAGAACTACTTTCAATCCGTATTGTTTCCGAGGTTATTATCGATAATAGCCGAGGCAGTTCCGAATTATTTCAAAGGGTCACGCGGGTCAACTATTCTTACACGGTAAAATTTATATGAAATTGGACACAATTACCATGATTACAGCAAAATGTAAAGTTATTTTTACAGTTACTTTTGCACTCGCCATTTACACTTAGGTGGCATAATGTCACTTTAAGACACATTTTAAAATGGAGGAATATTGTATAGTACGTAATTTTGCCTCTTAAACATAGGTGACACCATTTAGTAAGTTTTTTGTATGGGTGGCTCCGCTACGGTTAGAAACTGAGTTACAAAAACCTAAGAACTTAAGAACGTTTTTGTCCATTCAGCTGTAACATCGAAGATGAGTCTTATCATGGATTTATTGTGCATCGGTGGTGTGATTCAGTCACCCCCGAAACTGGAAAATAATCTATCCAAATACATATGTGATGAAGTGATTAAATGCTGTCTCAGGCAAATGATTACAGATAATTTAACTATGTAAAAAAAAGTGAATATGTCTATATACACCGTAGGGAACGTGTTACAGTATAGAATTTTCAAGATGAAGGATAATTTGTGGGGAAGACAGGTAGGTGATTTTTATTCCGGTCCAAACTACAAGTGGTTTAGTTTCTTAAAGATGTTTTTGTGCTTTGCTTGTAAGGAATGGGATCCGGTATCTAGTCATATATTTCTTCAGACCATGCGACCCAGTATCATCTATATATTGTCTCATAAATGATTAGCTGAACCAATTTTACTGTTTGTCAAATGCGTTTGAAAAAAAACAATGTTACAGTATAGAGCGAGGTGAATTGTGCAGGGTTACAGCATAGACCTAGCGATTTTTATTTAATTTTGTTACAGTTTATACCCAAATTTCCGTTACAGCTTAGACCTCGATATTTTCTTAATATACTAGGTAAAATGTATGAATGATACATAGAATTTTATATCTCGACTCAACTGGTGAGCTTATTGGTCCGATGGCTTTTCGTCCGTCTGTCGTACACATGTATGCCCAATGACATCCACACAGTAACTAATTGACAAAATTTGATGAAGTTGACATGAATTTCTACCAATTTGAAAGTTTTTCAAATGGTTTCGGTTGCACTCCGGAATACGAAAAAAAAATAGATTTAAAAAATGCAATGTTTAAAATTCCAAACCTAAAAGCATTCGCTGTGTACCATTCTAAAGAAAGAATTTTGCAAGGAAAGATCAAATCATGGCCCCTGTGTCATTTTTGATGCTTCTTTGAAGTGAGGATTATTTTGTCATTATTAAATTAAAAGTCGTTTTATTTTTTCATTTCAGACATCCTGTATGGAAGTTTTCATGTTTCTGAAAAGGAAAATATATAGTGTATAAGTTAAGGTCATACGATTACAATATCTATTATTATTATTATTATTATTATTATTATTATTATTATTATTATTATTATTATATACCAAACTTCTTAAGCACTTTTTTCGTACACATTGACACGTTCAAAAGTACTGTACAGTATAACCAAATAAACTATGCAATATTAAATTAAAAAAAAATAAAACATCAATATTTCTCAAGTCACAAATTCAAATCAAATGTAGTTTAAACACATAAATAATAATTCCTTTCATGCTGTGGTTGAATTCCCGTCAAGACGTTGGATTGTTTGTATGTAAGGAATCTATCAAGCTAGTTTACAGAAGGTCGGTGGATCTATAGTCAGATGCCCGCTCGTGTCTGAAATGTTTCACAAAGGATTAGCTGGGGTCTTTCTTTACAGTATATTAGGAATGTTTTCACATGACCGAAATTTCGGTGAAACTTAATCCAAGAAAAACCAAAAGTAACAAATCCGTTTTAAATACTTAAAATACATTATTGTAGATGGAATTTCCAACTTAAAGTAAGTTTTCAGGTTGCGATATTTCTCACTTTAATAGTGTTTAATCACCCTTAGGATATGTTGTCTGCTTTTTAATTGTGTCTTTTACAGCTTATATGTGGTATGCAGGCTTTTTAACCTCCGATCCCCTTTCAATATTCTCTTGACAGTTTTACTGTTGTTACTGTCAAAACAGTCCTTATACATGGACGGTAGTGGTAACTGCAAGCTATCGCCCACGCCTCCTGTCAACGGCTTAAGCAGAATGTGATTCAAGATCAACTTCAGAAAGGTATAATAGAAGAAGTCAAACCAAATAAAGCAAACGGTGCTGTGCATCTAGCTGGAGTCATTACACCACAAAAAAACAACAACCAAACTTCGAGTAGTATACGATGCATCGGCAAAGACTTCAAAAGAAAATAACAGTCTGAACGACTGCTTGTATCGCGGTCCTGTTATGGTTCATGACTTATGTGGAATATTGTTGAGATTTCGAAAACATCCGATCGCAATTGTAGCCGACATCGAGAGGGCGTTCCTTCAAATAGAACTTCAAAGAGATCAACGTGATGTTACAAGGTTCTTATGGTTAAAAGATATTGACAATCCAATGACTAACGCATGTAACATACAAGAGTTTCGCTTTTGTCGGGTACCGTTTGGAGTAGTGTCAAGTCCTTTTCTTCTTGGTGCCACAATTGAACATCATCTTGACACTTTTCATAATGAAATATCAAACAAAATAAAAAACGATATCTACGTGGATAATATGATAACAGGTGCAAAAGACATAACAGAAGCGAAGATTCTTTATAAAGATGCAAAAACTATATTCAATGCTGGATCTATGAATCTAAGAGAATGGGCTTCAAATAATGAAGAGGTCAATTCACTCTTTTCTCCTGAAGACCGTGCAGAAGTGAAATCAATGAAAGTGCTAGGGCTTGAATGGAACTTGGAAAGTGATACTCTTTCATATCGTTCTGCAAAAATGCTATGTCAAAGTCTTCATGCCACCAAAAGGGAAATTCTAAAATACGTTGCATCCATTTTCGATCCACTAGGCTTGATTAGTCCTGTTATCCTTGATGCTTAATATTTTCTGCAAGAACTGTGGAATAAACACCTAGACTGGGATGATGCTCTCAGTGATGATGATCAAAAGAAATGGATCTCATTAAAAAAACAACTAATGAATGTGGAACATGTCCGTATACCAAGATCTAGATCTGCAAACTGTTCTAAACTAGTTGAATATCGCATTGTATGTTTCAGCGATGCATCACAAAAAGCGTACGCTGTTGCAGTATACTTACATCAACGGTCAGAAGATACAACAAAAATAGATCTCATCTTTTCAAAAACACGTTTAGCACCTTTGAAAAAGCTCTCAAAAACAAGACTAGAACTGTTAGCTCTTGTTATAGGTTTACGATGTTTACAGTTTGTTAAGAGTCATCTTCAGCAAATCCACGAAAATCACGTGCAACGGTGTCCAAACATTATAAAAATCTCTTTTCATTCCATATTTACTTCATACGATTACGGATATTTACTGCGAAATAATCAATTCAAGATGTATTATTGTAAATTTAAATTCTGTCGACGCTTTTACAGCGATTATAAATCATTACAACGACATGTCAAAGAAATTCATTCTCCGGAAAACAAAATTTACACATGCATTATAACTGGGTGCAAAGTCAAACTTAAAAGGAGACACTACCTAATAAAACATTTAGAAAAGGTTCATCAAATGACAAAAAATGATGCAAAGAAATTGACATACAAAATCAACACAGAAATCACAGAAAATAACATCACAACTGAAACAAAAAAAGTAAGATCACCCTATCTTCCGATAACAGAAAACATATCAGATGTTGAAGAAAATACAACTACTGCCGAAATATTTGCAAATGCAATGAAAGTAATCAACACAAATGAAGATATGGATTTCTACAATAATGAAAAAATTTATGCAAGAAAGATAAGTGCTGAAGAATTAGAGTTAGATATTCAGGAAAAATATCATTATCACGATTGTGATTACACATTTCTTTCGTACAAAGTCAAAGATACCATGAATATATTAGATACTGATAATGTGCAACCTGATAACAGCATTTCATTGGACAAAGTGTCAAGATTTCAGTTAGTACCGTCTGGATTGCAGGACTACTTTAATATTGCAACCGACAGTCATCAGATGATGGAGTCACAATTGTACTTTATGAAACTTAAATACACATCTGGAATTTATATAAACATATGTTCATTAATTTAGTTTATTCCTTTTTGCGGCGGGAATGTCGCGAATGACGCGAGTCATTGTTATATGAGCGGCGCTATCTCGATTGTTCACTTTAAAATCATGGAACGGTACCGAGGACGGTACTTCTAGAACGTGTTATTATTCTAGTCACATGACAAGTATTTCCCGCTCCTTTTCAGACGGTATATAAGCTATCGCACATTGTTGAACAGACAGAACGAAACGAAAAGTGCTAGAATAAATTGTTAAAGAAAAATTAAATCTATTTTAAAAAAAGTGACAATAAAAGGAATTACATTTTACAAAGTACTTTTTCTTTGGTTATACATAAAGTGATATGATAAATAAAATTATGAAAACTGTAAACGTTGTTGTTACATTTGTAGTATGAGATGACTTAAAAGTTAATACAGTCCTAAAAAATAAAATCTGTCTCTACTACATAGGACATTACTTATTCTGCAAAAGGTCTCAATCTGAATACCAGTACTTAAAGTAAGGAAAAAATGAAGGAAAATGTAATACAACCCTTCAAGAGTATATTTAACAGAAAGGTATGGGTCATTTCATAAAAATTAATGGATACACAAACTTTATTTGAGATTTGGCAAGTATCTAAACTGTAACTGAAATAAGGGTATATACTGTAACAAAATCGGATCAAAGTCGCTCTGTCTATACTGTAACCCTGCAAAATTCACCCAGCTCTATACTGTAATATTGTTGTTTTTTTTGTTGTTTTTTGTTGTTGTTTTGTTGTTGTTGTTTTTTTTTTATAAACGCATTTGACGAACAGGAAAATAGGTTCAACCGGTCATTTACTTTTATAAACGTGTCTTAACACAAAGGACTAATGTTTTGTAGGTTTACTTTTTGTAGGCATGCTTAAATAATGTCGGATTTGGAGAAAAATGCGTTGGTCTCTCGATTCAAATTTTCAAAGTGTCAAATCTACATAATAATGAGACAATATAAGGATAAATCTGCGGTGCATGGTCTAAAGAAATATATAACTAGATACCGGATCCTGTTCCGAACGAGCGAAGCACAAAAACATCTTTTTGAAAGTAAACTCCTTGTAGTATGGACTGGAATAATAATCACCTACCTAGCTGTCTTCCCCACAAATAACCCTCCATCTTGAAAATTCTATTCTGTAACCTGGAAGCGAAATACTGTAACACGTTCCCTACGGTGATATAATTTTTTTTTAAATCTTCAGTTGTGAAACATATTACTAATATGGTTAATTTGAGTTTCCAGTCATCTGTCTTTCCTGATAGTCTTAAAACAGCTCAGGTAGTTCCGGTTCATAAGAAAAGTAGTACTCTAGATAAAGGTAATTATACAGACCAGTTAGTATCCGTCCAATTTAAATTTATCTAAAATCTTCGAAAGGTCTATTTATACCCATCTAACAGACTTTTTCAATGACCATTTTAATATTTACTTATCTGCGTTTAGACCAGGTTACGGCTGTCAAAGCACTGTACTTAAAATTACTGAAGACTGGAAAAGATCACTGGATGAAAATAAATATGAAGCAGCTATTTTAATGGATTTGTCAAAAGCCTTTGACTACCTACCCCATGACCTCCTTCTCATGAAACTAAGCTGGTATGGGGTCTCTGACCATGCCCTAGATTTATTAACTAACTATTTAACAAGTAGGAAACAATTCGTCAAACTTGGATCTAATTTAGGTTCTTTCAATGATATTTATAAAGGGGCTCCACAAGGTTCTATTCTATGCCCTGTATTATTTAACATATTTTTTAATGACATTTTTGATTTTGTACACAAATGTGATCTTTATAATTATGCAGATGAGAACACTTTATCATGCAGTGACACAAACATTGACAATATTGTTGAATCTTTAGTGTCTGATAATCAGTCATTGATAAAATGGTTTTCGGACAATCATATGAAAGAAAACCCCGACAAATTCCAGGCTATTGCTATCGGTAAAAAAAACTAGGGATCAAAATATAAGTTTCAATTTAAATGGTAGTACAATCCCATGTGATGAATCTGTTAAACTTCTAAGGGTAACTTTTGACTTTAAACTCAAATTTGATAAACATATTTTTGACATCTGTAAAAAAGCCTCAAAACAACTTAACGTGCTAAAGATATGGTATGGTGGCATATTTCTGCCACCAGATAACCATAAAACTAACTAGTTACTTAAAAGGTTAACTAGTTACGTAACTAGTTATATAACCTCTTAATTAACTAGTTAGTTAATGTGATTAACTAGTAACTTAACTATAGCTATCGTTAATTTTTCAATAGATAAAAGATCATAACGGGAATTAAATGCATGTTAGTGCCTACAACTGTCACCCTTTTATTATTTTACCATCTTAATATTAAGAGGTTAACTAGTTTCGTAACTAGTTAACCTCTTAACTAACTAGTTGATTAAGAGGTTAACTAGTTACGTAACTTTTTAACCTCTTAATTAACTAGTTAGTTACAAATGTATATGGTAATCTAGCTGGTGGCAGAAATATGCCACCATAAGAGAGAATAGGTAAAAAAAATATGTAAATTAGGGAAATTAAACATATATTACTCATTTATACTATCAAACTTTAATTACTGCCCTCTCACCTGGCACTTCTGTGGAGAAAAGTACACCAACAAACTAGAGAAAATTCAAGGAAGGGCATTGAGATTCATTTACGATGACTATCAATCAGACTATGGCTCACTTTTAATACAATCTAAGCTACCAAATTTAAAATTTAGAAGAATCAGAACTATAGCACTTTAAATTCATAAAATCATACCAACATACTTACATGATCTTGTTAATATAAAAACTCATTCTTTTTATATATATATATAGTCTTTCTTATACTAATCAAAACAATAGAAAAGTATCATTTGGATATTCTTATATAATATCATCATCATCATCATCATCTCAAGTGATTGCATCACTCCGCAAGGAGTATACTCGCAATTCCTGAGAAATGTTGATAAAGTTCTTGATGATTTAGAATGGACATTTATATGATGAATAATAATATTTTATTGTATACTATATGTAATATCGGGCCATGTATATTACTCTTGCATGTTACAGTCAAAATTGTGTGTGCCATTATATGAAGCTTTCATGTTACAATAAAATGAGATGAATCTTATTTGTGTTCTTCTTGCATTAAATAGCCGTTCTATCAGTGCTGTGTGCATGGCAAGCAAATTCAAAACGCAAAAATAAATAATTGTCGATGAGTAACCTTTGATGTCTACCGATTTTTTAGCCAATGGAAATCTTTGTAATTAAGCGTAGCAAGGAAGTTAAAAAATGCGCGAAATCCTGCGCAGTCGCACATTATCACGTATCCGAAGTAAATAAATCCAGAAAATGACAATATCTTTTTGTTATATTGTGATTTATGATGTCATGTTCAGCCGTAACATAGAAATTAGTTTCGACTATGCCAAGGTCCCGAAATAGCCGGAGTGCTAGTCCACAAAAATCCGTATCAGCGGAAAGTATTGCGGAAATTGAACAGAGAAAAATTTTGCAAAATGTTCATGACATTTTTTGTGAAGCAATCGATGCAGATGTCATCCGATTGGTACTTCAGGAGTGTAACTGGAGAGGTAATAGACTTTCTCTTTGATATATAACATTAATGCACGATATTTCTTTGTCATACTGCATTTGGTCACTCCAGTCGATTCGGGTCAGATTGTGTCATCTCGGCCCCATGCAAACTCGACACAGATCAATTCGGGCGAAATTACTGATCATAATTTTTATTATTTTCATTGAGCAGAATAATGTTCATTGCACATACAAATGTTGATTTAAAAGTTTGATTGAGAAGTATCAGTATTTGTAAACAGAAAATAAATGATTCACACTCACAGGTAAATAAAATGGAAATGGCTAGCCATACTGCATTTTCAAAATTATATGAATGTCGAAAATGCATATGTTATTTTTTGTCTTTAATTGAGGATTTTAACAAAGAAACAGTGATTGTCTTTGAATGTTTACTTTTGAGAGATTACTTGCCATGTTGGCTACAGTAAAGAAATTATGAATATCGATATTTGTGTGTTTGTCATAGATCTCCATGGCGAGAAAAAAAGAGCGTTTAATTGCAAATGAATAACATCAATTGAAATTGTTAAAATTTAATAATTTTTTTTGTTTCAAGTTAAATTTTCATCACCTTTAAAAATAAAAAAATAAGCACCGGAAATAATTGTTGTTGGGCTCTGATAATTGCGTCAGTTACTAACAGTAATACTAGTACATGTAGTTTGTCCATCATGAAGGAAAGTTTGCATGTTCTGTGAATTGCATTCTAAAATGCTAAATATTGTCAGTCCCTGTATAGTCATTAATTTAGGCAAATTGATTGTGCCTTTAATTTATGTTTGATATTTATCTATTTAAAAATAAATAAATTTAACTTTGCATACACATATAAAATGTACTTATTATCATGCACCATGTAACTTTGATACTTTTATCAAGATGACAACTCGTGCATTTCTTTGGTTCTCCTGGGTTTTTTTACAAATTGAAAATGACGGAGCATCTTTATTAAAGTATACATAGAAGGACAAATGCAGGTTCTTGGTTAAAATGCATGTTTAAAGACACAAAATAACATATGCATATTTGACTTTCATATTATTTTGAAAAGTGCCATACAGCTAGAAGATACAGTATTCTGGCTAGCCCGTACGTGACTCACATATGGCTAGAACATTTTGCTAGCCACTTCCTAAATAAATTAAAGGCTTGTTTCATACCTTTTTTTCAAAAATATTTTTCAAATGGAATTGTTGGTTTACAGCACAAGTGTAAATACATTATTTGTCACTATATTACCACAGAAGCAGATTCTGCCCCGGAATGTGATATATGCTTGTAAACACTCTATCAAAAATATTTAATTAATATTTAAACATGAATGGGACATCCATAATCCATTACAATGATAAAACTGGTTTTCAAACAATTTTGCATGTTACAGTCAAAAGATAGGATGAACAAGTCAATATTTAATCTTTCAGCCTATATGTCTAATTTCCATTAAACAACTCTGAATTGGTCATGAAATTAATTTAGCAGGGTTCTAGCCAGGAATTTCTAAAGGCATACATGTTGCAAATTTTTTTTTTAGCCCATTGTCTCAGATCCATCTACATGATTTTGTCCACCTTATATCTTTGCAAGTGAACATGTGTATCTATTGACTTAAATGTATGTCTTTCATTTAAATTTTTAGTAAGGATATAATCTTGGTTGTCCTAATTTTGGACGGGGTTAGGCATTACTTGGGTCAAGGTTATCAGTGCTGAAAAAAGAGTTTAGAATCCTGGTAAAGTGATTCCGTGAAATTTTAGTGAGATCTTTAATTTTTAATATGTACATCTAACAATTAGGCATGTATAAGCTGATTTAAGCATGAATTTAAGTGCTTCACTACACTTGATTCCTTTAATTGTAAGTTTAACTGAACGATCAATATTCAAATGACATTTTTTATTGTAATAATCAGGGACGTAGCCAGCTTTTTTCAACTTTTAGACCCATACAAGGGGTCTGGAGGCTTATTATTTTCGAAACAATAATTTTAAACTATCCATTTGATTAGATGCAAACTTTACTGAGGACAGTAATTCATGCATAAGCCCAAAACAAACTTAATTCAACAATACGGCTTGAACCCAATACCAACTCCACAACTGCTTGTTTTTATTGTAGTTTTTGGGACTTTTGAAAATGTCATTTTCTTGACCAATTTGTAGGCCCGGGTATACATGGCCTTATAGTTGCTACGCCACTGATAATTAAATAATAATAAATATTTTAATGTCATTATATCTGCAAAAGAATTTGACAGACTATTCTGAGTAATTATACATTTGTTCTATTGAGACTTAAATATTGAGATTTGTATCATACTTCTGGGGGTATCAATTTAACAGATCTGCTTATTTTTTCATTGTAAAAAATATTTAGAAATTAGAAATACGTATTTACTAAACTGGTATAGTTCCGAAACTGAATAACATAACTTTTATGAATTACTTTCATCAAATGATAATTTTATAATTAAGAAAATCTCTACTTATATTTACCACCTCATGATCTCTATAGCACAGTAGTATATAAACGTAATGAGAGTCAAAACTTGTATAAGACACAACTTTGTAATGTTAAATATCATATTTTGTATGACATGTTTTTTGGGCCGTTGGCCTTTATTTACTGAATAAATCTTTTGACTTGACTTGACTTATTCTAATAATTAAGACACATGAAATTCAACATCTAATGATTAATTTGCCTTGTTTAAAAAATGCCAGTTTTCTCATTGTTATACTTTCTCCAGTCTAAAATACTTTTGTTATTATTTGAAGAAAATAACTGAGTATTTTACTTTATATGAAAAACTAGTCATTTCAATTGAATATGTGAAGCATATTCATATATGTGCCGCGTCACGACAAAACCAACATAGTGTGTTTGCGATCAGCATGGATCCAGACCAGCCTGCGCATCCGCGTAGTCTGTTTAGGATCCACGCTGTTTGCTTACCAACCCTATTACAAGTAGAGAAACTGATAGCGAACAGATATATTTCTATAAGTCTTCCATTAAAGATAGCAAGTTACATGCTAGCTTTCTTTTTTCTTACAGAGGAAGAGGCAGTTGATAAACTTTTGGTAATAGCAGAAAGTCGTGAAGAACAAAGAAAATATAAGAGCAAATTACATCGAATAGCTGAGGGTATGTGAATATCTTCTAATATGTTGACCCTCAACCCTGATTTTAACTAGTAACAGTCCATTTAAAATTCAAGAGGTTTCATTATCAAGATAGAAAGATTATTGTCTGACAGGCTACTGGTGGCAAAGGCTAGATCAGTTTTGTTTCCCTAAGGTTAAGGGTTTATTAATGAAAAAAAGGTTCAATTTCAAAAATATATTAACTCTAGAAGAAACAGTGAGTAAAACATGATATATATTTAGTACTAGAGATCTACAGCTGTTTGCCATTCCTGCAAATGAAATTATCACTTGAATATATTATTGTTTAGCACATTTTCATACAATTTTTTATACAAGAGCTGAGAAAGATATTGTTTACAATTCTTTTAATGGGCAATTCTTTTCCTTAGCAAATTTATATAAATTTTTGTTTATTTTTGTAAACTGTATTCAAATGGTGTGTTTTGTCTTTGAACACCTTTTTACAATTCAAATATTAAAGGGTGTAAAGCTATATATTATGAAATATTTTTGTAAAATTTATCAACAATAAAATTATGTTTTTTCTGTAATCTTATCGACGATCCTTGAAAGGGTTGTAACATAATATGTCTCTATCATTTAACACACATTAGTATTGTTCATAAACAGAATAAAATGTTCCGGAACAAAATATTATGGTGCTATTGTCAGAAAGGTTTTAACCTATTAGCAATGATTTATTACATGTCAAATTCTCTTTTATTGTTTTATGGCAATTTACTACCATAGTTCTTTCATACAAGCATTTTTGCAAGATGCATACATTGTATAGCTCATAATATAACAGTTTCAACAAAAATTCTGAGGAATCATTACAAACTTTAAATCATGCATTACTTTTATTTTCTAGGTCTTGTCAATATTGTTTTACTAGAATCTACTTTTTGAAGAAAAAAACTCTATTTTTGTTTAAGCACCATCATATGACTCGTCAAGTTAAGTCAGTAATGATTTGTCCCTCTCTTCAAAGTAACTAAGTTGATCATTTAATGAACAATACTTGTCTTAGAATTGGTTCGTTTGTCTCTTCTAAATAAAAGTCTGTTTGAATTGTATGAATGTTATTTTTAATCATACATAGAACTAGTAAGAAAAAATACTAGAGATAATGAGTATTTTATGAGACAATTTTGTATTTAAGGAATATTTGGTTCTCTTCGCTCAGAAGATTATGGACACAGCTCTGTCACATCAGCCTCGAGCTTGTCACCATCAGAGAAGGTAATCAGAAGGCCCTCTAAGCCTGCTTCAGGGGGAGACAAGGGAAGCTCTAACACCTCAAAGCTTCATCATGTTGGGCCATCAGAGAAGCTTCTTGCCAGAGGTTTGGCTCCACCAATTTATACATCTGGAGCGCAAGAAAGTGGATCATCAGCAGTGGATGAAATTGAAATGGATCTCCATTTTGCACCAACAAAATTGTCAGAGACTAACATTTCTAGTGCATCATCTTCAGTAAGTAGTCAGAAATCACATACAGAGCAAGGCAAGCCACCTAATTCATCAAAAACAGTGCTTTTATCTCAAGCTCAAAGTGCATTTAATCAGCAATTTGATGATGCTGAAGGAACACAAAGATGGGAGCAGTATAAACAAAAACTGAGTGAACATTATTTAGTTACTTTAACCAAAGACAAACCAAGCACAGCTAGTAAAGGTAAAAGTTCCAATAAAGAATCTTATACAGATGATCCAGCAATTCTGCAGGCAGAATTACAAAGTCCATCTTCAGATAAAGTTGTCCAAAAAGAGGCTGAAAGACCAAGATCAGAAACTAGCCGTAGTTTTCCTGTGCGTTTGTTAAGTAGAAGTCCAGATACAGTTGAAGATGATGTTCCCGTTCCTATCTTAATTTCCGGACAGAATGCTGCTACAAGAGCAGGTTTAAGTGAGTTAATGGGATCTAATAACATTAGCAATTCAGAACTAGATGAAACAGTGTTTAAATGTATCTATGAAGTTCATGGAGATTTGCTAGATGAGAAAGAATTAGGAACACTTACTAAAAATTCAGAAGGGGAGAAGTCGAGTACTCCAACCAGTTTCAGACAGACTGTAATTTCACCAGCTGGCAAACCAGCTGCTCAACAAAGCAATGAAGCTATGACATTACCCACAATAGGTCTGTCTGTTGATGCCGTAGAATTTGTGCCCAGACCTAAGTCAGTAACAAATAAATCTGCTTTAGCATCACCTACAGAAGTCAAAGATCCTTCACCACAGCCTGCTAGCAAAATGCCAAAGTCTAGTTCTATTGAAATAAAATCAGGAGTAAAAAATGTTCAAAGAAATCAAACTACTGTCTCAGTTGGATCACCTTTGACAATAAGTCCATCAATTAGCCCAGGTTTAAGTCCACCAACGACACATATGAATAGCCCAGTTGCAAACTTGACTGGAAGTCCTATGTTTATCACACCAAAGTGGCCACAGATGTTTCATACAATTAATCACCCACCTCCCATGCCACCAACAGTATTAGCAACAACAACATCGAGGTTTATGAATCCGAACCATGCACATCATCTCTCACCACCTGGATATAGATTCCCTCCAGCAGGGCCTCTTCCTTATTCTTCTCGTATGGTCTATTCTGTGGCTCCACCTCCATTGTTCCGCATGGCCGGTGTGCCCCGGTATGTTCAGCAAGCAAGTTTAAAGGTCGGGGATAATATGGAAGACAGAGCAGCCATTGCTACAGGACAGCCTATAATGGCAACATCAGAGGCCTCAAGGCTTATCTCCCCTCCAGGTATTGTACTGGTTATTATGTTACTGAATTATACTTGTTACTGTATCATTGTGTATGTTAAGGAAAGACTGATGTATATATCTGAATGTTGTGAAATTCGAAAATATACCAGACAGTTGGTCTATTATAACATTGATTTAAGGATTTTTTCCGCCACTGCTTAATTTGCGATGTAGAAAAGTATGAAGTAGTATGTATGAGCAGTTATAGATATTGTACAGTCTGGTATTAATTCAAGCATAAGCAATATGTGGCTAAAATAACATTGAAATTAACACAGTATACCCGCCACAAAAATAAATGGATTTGTTTTTTAGCTCGACTTTTCTATGAAAAGGGGAGCTATCCTACTCGCCCCGGCGTCGGCGTTAGCGTTAGCGTTGGCGTCACACCTTGGTTAAGTTTTTCGTACCACCCCACTTTATTTCAGAAGTATTACAAGTATGGCTTTGAAACTTACCATACTTGTTCACCATCATAACCTCCATCTACAGACAAGAGTACATAACTCTGTCAAGGTTTTTGACAGAATTATGGCCCTTTTTTGACTTAGAAAGTGTATTGAGCTTGGTTAAGTTTTTTGTACCACCTCACTTTATTTCAAAACCATTGGAGGTATTGCTTTGAAACTGACCATACTTGTTTACCATCACGACCTTCATCAACAGACAAGAGGACATAACTCTGTCAAGGTTTTTGACAGAATTATGCCCCTTTTTGACTTAGAAAATACATTGAATATGGGTAAAATCCACTTATTGCCTTAACCCTTTGAGATATTGCTTTGAAACTTTTAATGCTATTTCACATCATTACCCCCATCTGTACGCAAGAGAAGGTAACTCTGTCAAGGATTTGTTTTAAAAATTAAGGCCTTTTATCGACTTAGAATCTTGGTTAAGTTTTTTGTACCACCTCACTTTATTTCAAAACCATTGGAGGTATTGCTTTGAAACTGACCATACTTGTTTACCATCACGACCTTCATCAACAGACAAGAGGACATAACTCTGTCAAGGTTTTTGACAGAATTATGCCCCTTTTTGACTTAGAAAATACATTGAATATGGGTAAAATCCACTTATTGCCTTAACCCTTTGAGATATTGCTTTGAAACTTTTAATGCTATTTCACATCATTTACCCCATCTGTACGCAAGAGAAGGTAACTCTGTCAAGGATTTGTTTTAAAAATTAAGGCCTTTTATCGACTTAGAATCTTGGTTAAGTTTTTAGTACCAGTCCACTTTTTGACTGAACTGTTTGAGATATTAATTTGAAAGTTGGAATACTTGTTTACAATCATGATTCCCAAACATGTCCAGGAGCAGTGATTTTTTTCACTGAATTTTACAGCCGAATAAAGGCTGTTTCCCCTAGCCCAAAATAGGTATACTTTCCCCTAAAAATGCATATATTTTCCCCTTAAATGCCGTCATACGCTTCCTTACCAGACCCATGACTTAACAGCATCAGCTAGAAGACAGAAATCTGTCCCTATAGATAGCCTCTGCTATGTACCATGCATGTTAAATTGAATTTAAATTAATTTTTTTCATAAAATGTGTGAGTAAATTCCATTTTCAGTTGTTGGAATTTGATTTCAGGTTTCCCCCTTTTCTTATTTATCGCGCTATATTTTCCCCTTTAGAAAGCCACAGGTTGTTTTGAAAATTTGAAAAAAAATCACTGAGGAGAAGGTAATTCTGTCAAAGATTTTATTTGAATTATGGCCCTTAACTGTCAATGTTTTGTATTATAGGCAAGCACTAAAAAAGTCGAGCGCGCTGTCTTACGGACAGCTCTTGTTCAAATGATACTCTATAGTATTTTTATTTCTCAGCATTAAAGTTAGTCAACATGTCATATATAGAGCAGAAAGTGGAGAGGATACAAACATTACAGAAATCAGGAGTTAAAGTACTTGTCATTGTAAGAGGTCTACCTGGTAGCGGCAAATCAACATTAGCCAGGTTGGTACTGACCTTAACACCATACTCGTTATAAAAAATACTGTCATTATTGTACAGTCTGACCAGGTGTACACTGTTAACAGTACTAATTTTAAATTTTCATCTTTGATAATGTTTATATCTTATAATTAGTGCAAGACTATTCTTTAAAAGTTCTTTAATAAAAAAAACAAATTTTCCGCAGATTCCGGTAATTTGGCTGATTCCCGTAAGTCATATAACTGATAAATTAATTGTCTGTTCAAAATAAGGAGCAAAACAGGTTTCAGAAATCAGGCAGTTTAAAGGTGAAGAATAGTCATTTATTTGCGTCAAACAAGCAGTTTATGATATTTATATACATGTATATTTCTCTAAATGTATTCTGAAGTTTGATTGTTTAAAACATGGTCTGCTTATCTACAGGCATGCATCTTATGAAATAATTGAATTTTATTAAGTAGTAGATGGTCTGGTAAATGAGGTCATTTATTTGTCATTGTATACCAGGAAACTACAACTGAATGGTATAGTTCTGTCAACAGATGACTACTTTATGAAAGGCAATATTTACACATACAATCCTGACAAACTGACAGAGGCCCATCAGTGGAACAGAGAAAGAAGTAAGTTACAGAATCATAATTACAGATATTTACATAGCAATGGTACATCTTAGTAATTGTTATGATAAGAATTTTAGAACTTAAGAAGTTTGGGTAAAATGTTAATTATTTATAGTTATTAGTGTGGCTTTAAAAGTAAGAGAAAGTATTACAACTGTAATGTACCAAAACAATTTACAGGATTCTGAAAAGAGGTGAAATTCCTTTGTTTTTTATGTAAATGACAGTAACTAATTTGCAAACATAATAAGTTTGAGTCAGTTTGTCTTATGTGACTAATTTGCACTTGTGTTCAATGGCTTATGAATGGAAAAGAACACGTAATACAATGTGGCTGAAAATGAAATACATTTTAAATGGACTCGACTAAGGTTTTTTGACATGACGGGACTGGAAATAATTTTTTGAGATTATTACTCAATTTGATGTAGATATACTAATAACTTATGTGCAAAATTTCAGATCATTAGCTCGCTCCTTTTTTCCAGAATAATTATTACAAAATTGAAAAGCGTTTAAACACTTTTCAATCAAATCGGACTGAGAATAGAACAAACATACGATTTTCAATGTATTTCTTGTATATTTCTCAGTTTATATTTTATTTATATTTCTGTTTAAAGTGCTCATGTTTATTTATGTGAAAAATAAAAATGTTATGTTTTTAGGCTTATAAACCTCAGTGGAGTTCCTTTAAATGTGCTTAGATAAACAAGGCCTTATGTAAGCATTTACCATAACTGCCTTTTATGGGTTCAAGATTGATTTACATAGTGTATTATTTTTGTTATTGTACATAATGCAATATTTTTGTTATAGGTAAAGAGGCGATGAAGATGGGAAAAAGTCCAGTGATTATTGACAACACTAACACCCAGACGTGGGAGTTTAAGCCATATATTAGCATGGTAATACACTTGATAAATCTACATTCTTTTAAATTTTCTCAACATTTCATATTTTTTTTAAAAGAATAATTACAGTGAGTGTGTCATAGACATTATTATGTGCATATACCATGTACTTTATACATGTACTTAGAATTAACAGGAGGGGCTTTATATTTTCACATCATGGGTGAGTCTGCTATCTGTACAAATTTACCCATTGTCATTGAATGATAATAAATAACGCTACAGACTCATTCTCTCCACAAGTGGCAACACACACAATGCTCTGCCAGAATTATTCCACCCTGATTCCAACGTAGATTTCTTGCTAAAGGAAATAAGCAGTGTTTACAAAAGCACTGGAATCTGGGAAGTACCACTGTTTCCCCTTTATATACAGGCATATATGTTTGTTAGCATAAAATTGATTGCTTTTAAATGTTAACATATAAAATATTTATAAATAGTAATGCAGTTATAAAGAATGAGGAATATTCTAGATCAATAATGAATTTCACATAGTAATAATTATTACCAGTGATTGCTTTTGTTGATGTGAAATTTAACACTTGATTGCCCATGCATGAAGCTGCTGTTGACTGTCTATTTGCTAATCATATTATTTACATATTTAAAGGCACATTATGCCACAATAACAAATGTTTACTTCTTCAGAAAGCATAAACTTGAATTTTATTACATTTAAATAATGGTTTTAGAGCATGTAAGATGCTTGTTATCTGAAAAAAGTCACACAATATGTAAACAAATTTGTATTTTGACTTCCATATGATACATTAATATTTTTTTTTTTTTTTTTTTTTTTTTTTGGAAAAAAATAAATATTAAAGAGCTTTGAGAAATTAGAAAATCAAACCAATTATTGAGCATAAAGAGCCTTTTAAAATATTTTTTCTTTCAGGCTGTATCAAACAATTACCACATAGAGCTGATGGAGCCTAATACACCTTGGAAATATAAAGCAAATGAATTAGCAAGGTATGTTTGACCTTCATTATAAAAGCTTTGAGGGTCTGTAACATGTTTTCCTGTATTGTTTTAATTATGGATTGTTTACATTTCATTTTCAGTGAAATCTTAGTTATAAGCAGATTTTTGATGATGACAAAGATTCAGTGAAAAAAAAATGATGTGCTGAAATTTTAAAATAATGTCTCAAATACATACCAAACACTGCGAAAATGTTTATAAAAAGTAACTGGTTTTAATCATTGATTTAGTCATCCTTAATCTGAATATTTCAGTTTTCCAGCTTACTTACAGACCTGTATGTTACTATAATTTTGTTGAATTTCAGACGAACATTGCATGGCGTACCAAAGGACCAGATTGAAAGGATGTGTAACAGATATGAGCACAACATCACAGTTGATACTTTATTAAAGAAGAAAAAAACTGACACAAAGTAAGCTTATTGCACTTTAATAAATTAATTTATCTTCTCTTATGAAAATAAAAGTATGGATAATGGAAATAATGGACACATTTTACAGATGATCAAAAAATTAATGTTGATCCTTATTTTGATCCAATAATTTTTAGCTCACCTGTCACAAAGTGACAGGGTGAGCTTTTGTGATCGCTTTTCGTCCGGCGTCCGTCCGTCCGTCCGTCGTCCGTCGTCCGTCCGTAAACTTTTGCTTTAAATGACATCTCCTCATTAACCACTGAGCCAATTTCATCCAAACTTCACAGGAATGTTCCTTTGGTGGTCACCTTTAAAAATTGTTCAAAGAATTTAATTCCATGCAGAACTCTGGTTGCCATGGCAACCGAAAGAAAAATCTTTAAATATCTTCTTTTAAACAACCCTAAGAGCTAGAGCTTAGATATTTGGCATGAAACAACTTCTAGTGAGTGTCTACCAAGTTTGTTCAAATAAAAGCCCTGGGGTCAAAATTGGCTCCGCCCCAGGGGGTCATTGATTTTCCCTATATGCATATAGTAAAAACTTAAAAAATCTTCTTTAAAAGAACCCAAAGAGCTAAAGCTAAGATATTTGGCATGAAACATCTTCTAGTGAGTGTCTACCAAGTTTGTTCAAATAAAAGCCCTGGGGTCAAAATTGGCCCCGCCCCGGGGGTCATTGATTTTCCCTATATGCATATAGTAAAAACTTAAAAAATCTTCTTTTAAAGAACCGTGAGAGCTAGAGCTTAGATATTAAGCATGAAACATCTTCTAGTGAATGTCTACCAAGTTTGTTCAAATAAAGGCCCTGGGGTCAAAATTGACCCCGCCCCAGGGGGTCATTGATTTTCCCTATATGCATATAGTAAAAACTTAAAAAATCTTCTTTTAAAGAACCCAAAGAGCTAGAGCTAAGATATTAAGCATGAAACATCTTCTAGTGAGTGTCTACCAAGTTTGTTCAAATTAAAGCCCTGGGGTCAAAATTGGCCCCACCCCGGGGGGTCATTGATTTTCCCTATATGCATATAGTAAAAACTTAAAAAATCTTCTTTTAAAGAACCATAAGAGCTAGAGCTTAGATATTTGGCATGAAACATCTTCTAGTGAATGTCTACCAAGTTTGTACAAATAAAAGCCCTGGGGTCAAAATTGATCCCGCCCCAGGGGGTCATAGATTTTCCCTATATGCATATAGTAAAAACTTAAAAAATCTTCTTTTAAAGAACCCAAAGAGCTAGAGCTAAGATATTTAGCATGAAACATCTACTAATGAGTGTCTACCAAGTTTGTTCAAATAAAAGCCCTGGGGTCAAAATTGGCCCCGCCCCAGGGGGTCATTGATTGTCCCTATATGCATATAGTAAAAACTTAAAAAATCTTCTTTTAAAGAACTCAAAGAGCTAGAGCTAAGATATTTAGCATGAAACATGTTCTAATGGGTGTCTACCAAGTATGTTCAAATAAAAGCCCTGGGGTCAAAACTGGCCCCGCCCGGGGGGGGGTGGGGTCATTGATTTTCCTTATATGTGTATAGCAAAAACTTAAAAATCTTCTTTGAAAAAAATCAAATAGCTAGAGTTTAGATATTAAGCATGAAACATCTTTAAGTAAATATCTACAAAGTTTGTTCAAATAAAAGCCCGGGGGTCAAAACTGGCCCTGCCCCAGGGATGTCATTGTTTTTAACTATATGTGTATAGTAAAAACTTTAAAAATCTTCTTTTAAAAAACCCAATGAGCTAGAACTTAGATGTTTAGCATGAAACATCTTCTTATGGGTGTCTACCAAGTCTGTTCAAATAAACAAATAAAAACCCTTGGGTAAAAATTGGCCCGGGGGTGGGGGGGGGGGCCTATATACTGGTGAGCGACCTCAGGGCCATCATGGAACTCTTGTTCTATTTGTTTTTTATAGTGACATTATGCTGATGTAAGAGTGTATAGTGAGTGAACAGGCGAATATCAAAATAAGTTTACATTTTGCCACAATTCATTTCACAGTAATTTACTTCACATGAACGATAGGTAACACATGGCTCAAGGAAACTTCTGTATCCATCAGAATTTACTTGTAACATTTAATTTATAAGAAGAGTGGGCAGCCTTTTACATTTTAGGCAGATTTATATTTTATCCTAAACATTTACCAGTATCAAAGGTTGGTCAATCAAAATTATAACAGGTAATCCTATAAGATATATACTCAATTCAGCGAATTTTGACAATGACAAAATGAGCATAATGTCACTTTAACTTAAATAAAGTACCACATCATAATCTTTAATCTCTGAGAGGGGATAGATTTCTTTCAGACATAAAGTTTGGGTTTTGAAATAAGATTACACCAATTCTTTTTCCAGGTCAAATGATAATGAGAATACTGAGGGCACAAGACTTGATGAAAACACACTAACAAGTCAAGGTTTGTGTAACTTTTTATTACCAGAAGTACATGTATATTCTGTACCAATAAATCAAATTAATTCTTCGTAAGACTGTCACCATTGCTGATTGATGTTTTACTGAAAAATACACTGGTAATTGCATAATGATATAGATGTACTGAATGGGCTAGATTTAGAAGCAATAATAGATAATGTTCAGGTTGATTTTTTCTTTGTTAAATTTTTGAATGATAATTGAAAGCTGATTAATCCATTGACAGGTTAAAGTTAAGATCATTTGAAATAAACTTGGTACAGTATGATGCTGGTATAATTTTCTACATATTCCTATTGATCCTTCAATTTTTATTGTGATAAACTATGACAGATATTTGTTTGTTCTTTATTACAGAAGATACTTCAACAAATTTGAGTCCAATCACTGACATTAAAGCTGGAAAAGATCTCCGTTTACAAAACTCTAGTAAAGTTGAAGATATACGCAAGCAAAGATCTGCAGAATCTGATTCAGACAGCATCAGTAGCTATCATTCTGGATCATTGTCAAACCAGTCATCCAGAAATGCCTCACCGAAACCTTTACGTCCATCTCTGAAAACACCAGGTGTTTTACAACAGATTGAGAAGCGGAAACCACCTGTAAAAAAGAATCCTGTATCTGTTAAGCCAACTGTTAAAAGGGTAGATAGAAAGGCAATTCAGAGAATGGAATCCAACTTGTCAACAGAAACTGTACAGGTTGTTAATGAAATGGTGAATGAACATGTAGGAGATAGAATTCTTTCAATTGAAGATGTTACAACATTGGAAGAAGAATTGAAAGCTTTGTTAATGCTCTATCCCTTAAATGACTCAGAAGTTCCTTCTGCAGAGGAATTAATTGGACTAAAGTTACATGATATCATTAATCAGTCCGCTGAAATTCCTGAGGCAGACAATGATGTGGAAGCGGAGACTAGTGATGTAGAAAGTGCTAAAGATATAAGTAATGATGAAATAAAGTTTGAATTACCTGGCACTGATGAATTTTCAACTACTGGAGATGAATACAAGTCGGAAAAAGAATTTGATGAGTCTGTAAATATAGAAATGGTAGAATGTGATGGAAAAACATGTGAAATATTGAAAGGAGAAAAAATGAAAGCCATTGATATTGATTTGCTCAAAAATGGTTTACACAATGAAAGTGAAGCTATGCAAACTGATCTGAAATCAAATGAATTAGTTACAACTTCTAGTGAACGAAATTTTCCATCTTGGACTGAAATTGCCAGTAATGAAACTCAAAAACATTCAAATACATTTATTGATATGGGAAAAGACATGTTTATAGACAGTTTTGGATTCATTGAAAATGAAAGTTCAAGTGAGGACAAAATTTGCACGGACGGGAGTGAATTTGAGTCACAATATTGGGGAAACATTGCTGAAAACGATGATGATACTCCTTGGGATGGCAATGAATGTGGAGATTGGGAGGGTAATTCCTCCAACTCAAATGTTACAAATGGTGCTAAACCTCAAAGAAAGAAACGAAATAGGAGCATGGATCTTGTCTCAAATGAGGGTAATACATCAGATAATGAAACAGTTGAAAACAATTATGATTTACTCGAAGGAGCATTCGAGAATGAAAATTTTGTTGATTGTGTTGAGGAGATAAATGAAAAAGTACAAGATGTAAACAGCAATTGCTTGAATGAAGATAATGATGAAGATGAGGTTTGCGAATCTAAGAATGAAATGGATATTTGTACAACAAATATTGCAGAGCGGGTTGCAGACAGAGATAATGAAGAAAACAATTTTGTAGTTGAAAAAACAGCTGAAGAAAACAGTAACAATGAGGAAATTATTTGCTCAAGTGTTGATACTAATGGATCTCAGGATAGTTTTCATGTAACATCACACAATAATAGTTCATTACAGATGCTCAAAGAATCATACATAGATGCTGAAAGTGCCATTCAAACTGTTTCAAGTGATAAGGAGGAAGAAATGGGACCCAATAACGTAGTAGAAAGTGTTCATGTAAGTGCCAATGATAGTGAATCTATCAAAATTGACAATGATGTTGATAGTGAACTTTTAAGTGACAAAAAATCCAATTGTGATAATAGTGAAGAGATTGAAAAGAAATCAAACAAAAATGTGAAAATGTTTCAAGACAATGGAGAAGCTTTGAAAGATGTTAAATCTAACAAATCTTTAACACCTTCAGAAGATTCTGTTAAAGAGGTTGAGGTCAGGAATGAATCGGAGAAAGAAGGTAGCTCACTTGCATCTCAAAACTTAGTGAATTCTTTGCCTCAGAAAAGCAAAAAGCCTTCACGTAGGAAAATGGCAGCAAATCTGATGGGTCCATTTCTAAATAGAGAGGATAAAGAAAAGTTCAAAACTGAGGCTTGGAACTCGTTTCCTATACATAGTGTAGAGAAACCAGCATCTAGTGCAACATCTTTTACTCCTAGTAAATTGCCTAATGAGAGGGATGTTATAAGTGTAATGACAATGACAGATATTGAATATTTTAATACTGTTTTACGGTTAAATCAGGGTGGTTTTGTTGATAGCAGCATTAAATACTTAAATGGAAATCCAAGGAAACTTATTAATGGGCTAAATACAAATGTGGAATTAAATTCAGTGAATGAAATACATACTTTAGAGAAGAGTACTTCTACAGAAGATCTTCTGACAATGACAGATTCAGAAAGTGTAGAATTTCTACATACTTGTTTCCCTACAGTGCCTAAAGCTGAGTTAGAATGTGTGTTAGAAAACTGTGCAAACAATTGTGAATGGGCTATTAACTTACTACTAGATTGGAAATATAGCCTTCATCTGACAACTGATGAGAAAAGAAAGTTTACAGATAGTATGGCCGAGGTTAAAAAAGGTTCAAGTCAAGGGATGACTGAACAAGATGATTCAAAAAGTGACAGTGGGCCGAACAGCCTGCTGGATATTTGTTTTAATCTGGTTGAACAACAGAAAATTGCATCAAGAGAGGAGATAGAAAAACAGCTGATACAGACAGGGAAAGAAAGGTTAGACAGAATTGAAGATGACAATATTACAAAAATTCGTCTTCATAGGTCAACTAGTCTTAGTGAATCTTCCTTTGATATTGGAAGTCTCACTCCTAAAAGAAATGATCTCTCAGTATTTAGGTCAAATAGTTCCCCGGCTCAGATTACAGAAGGTGGTCAAGAGGATGACAATGATACATCTGATGCTAGGGTAAATGAAAATAAGTTAGAGGAATTTAAAAGTGATAGAGATAACAATGATGATGGATTAAGAAGTTCTAGTGTTGATAGAAATTCAGGAGCTGACTCTGAGACAGTTCATAAGGTTAAGAAGGCGGGATCTAATACAAGTAATGATGTAGATGTTACTGATATGATGGACAATCATGTAGCAGCAGAGGAATTTGATCTCGACATTAAGCCTGCAGTTTCTATAAATATTGATACAGAAATGATAGGCAGACTAGAAGATATTTTTGGACCACTATGGAATAGAAGCGATAGTAAGTTAATTGTTGCAATTGTTAAGATTTTATCTTACTACTTGAAAATATAACAATTTGACATTTATATGTATATAAATATTGAAACAGAATAACTTATCATGGCTCCCATTAATGGAAGTTTGGAAGTCATATACTCCTTAATTTGGCTTGTAACTTCCAAATTGTAATGCTTTTCCTTCTTTACCTATATAATGTGACTTGAAACTTAAATTAATGGAAGGCCTGCCTTCTTTTATAAAACTCTTATAATCATAATTTGATGATACACACCTATTGAATTGATATTATAAAAATTAAGATTTAAATAAACATTGTTATATTATCATATTTAACCAAGGAAAAACTAAAAATTGACATTTTCAAATAGTTCACATACATCCTGTTGTACAAATTTCTTACATATTTAATTATAAGACAAACACGGTGTGTCACATATACTTTAGTAATGATTTACCCTGACACAGGAAATGACATGATGTCACATAGTCAAATCAGGCAAAATAATGTATTCACCCAGAATCACATAAATTGATCAAACTGCCTTTCAATGTACCAGACTTACATATTTAATACTTGTAGTAATGATGGAAAAAGATGTACTATATACATTTTAGTGTGATCATGTACAACAGTGATTTTTGAAATATCTCTAGCTTGTTGTAGTCGTAAAAAATCTGTTTGTTTAATGTAAATAATGACTTTGATTAGAGCTTGTTATATATTTATGGAACTTTATATAAAAAATAGAATATTGATCGATGATGACATGGAATTTTTTTCAGCAAAAGACGATATATCTGTGCCGTTGGATCGTAAGACAGCGTGGATGTTGTACCAGTGTGTGAAGAAGGGAATCATATTAACTAGATCACAGCAGCGCAGGGAACAACAACAACTAATCAAAGGTTTGTATAGTGTATATTTCTAAGCTGAAAAACATGCTTGATTGATGAAGCTAAATAAATTCCTCTTTTGTTTCTCTGATTTTGATTCTAAACAGAGGCAAGAAAGCATTGAACATATAAAGAGCATATAAAGTGCTTTCTTTTCATATAAGAGGAATAGGATTAGGGTTTTGACACAGAGGGAGGAATGGCGTCTGCGGCTAAGTGGTTAAGGCTGTTTACTTCAAACCACTTGCCCTTCATGGCCAATGGTTCGAATCATCACAGGGACTTTCTATTCTTACATGTGAGGAAACTATCCAGCTTATGGAAACTCAGTGGCTCTTCTCAGGTGCCTGTCTGTGCCTGAAATAATGCATGTTTAGAGCACCTGAGGTGTTTTTTCACCTGTAACACTGGAAAGTTGCCATTTGACCTATACTGTGTTGGTGCAACCTAAAACCTAACCAAAAACAAACAAAAACTTTAGAATGTGATAATTAAATCTGTGCATACATTCTGTCAAGCTCTTAATTAATCTGTTTTGTATAGCAGGGGTGTCTCAAACAAATCATTAACTCATGGGAACTCAAAAAGTGGATTAAAGAGGGCTTCTGGAAAAGATGCCAAAAGAGTACATTGAATAACTAAGAGAAATTCGTATAGGATATCAACCAAGTACGAGAACTTTCTGTTTTGGAAAGACCTGGTCACGAATTTCATGTGACACCGAGAGTGCGTAGCGCTTGAAGTGTTTCATGAAATTCGTGACCAGGTCTTTCCTAAACAGGAAGATCAATGTACGAGGCCGATATCCAACTAACACACCGTAAAACTATATTGGCTTGAGCTATGGCTGATTCGATGCATTTGATGTAACGCACAAATATAATTATTACACAACGCATATACAGGTAAGCTTTTATCAACGTTCTGCTTAAATACAATATATATTTTGCATTTAACTTTGCTTTTCCCTTTAAAATGATAATCAAAAAAGCTAAATGTGCAATTTGTCAATAATAAAGTGAATAGGTCTGTAATGGAAAGTATGTTGAAGTATGAATAATTATTTTGATAGTATTTCGTATCAGACAATGCAGATTCTAGGACATTTGCCCCTGGACAGTTGCCCCGCAGACGTTTCCCCGCTTTTTAGCTCACCTGTCACAAAGTGACAGGGTGAGCTTTTGTGATCGCTTTTCGTCCGGCATCCGTCCGTCCGTCGTCCGTCCGTCGTCCGTCCGTCCGTAAACTTTTACTTTAAATGACATCTCCTCATAAACCACTAAGCCAATTTCATCCAAACTTCACAGGAATGTTCCTTTGGTGGTCACCTTTAAAAATTGTTCAAAGAATTTAATTCCATGTAGAACTCTGGTTGCCATGGCAACCGAAAGAAAAAACTTTAAATATCTTCTTTTAAAAAACCATAAGAGCTAGAGCTTAGATATTTGGCATGAAACATCTTCTAGTGAGTGTCTACCAAGTTTGTTCAAATAAAAGCCCTGGGGTCAAAATTGGCCCCGCCCCGGGGGTCATTGATTTTCCCTATATGCATATAGTAAAAACTAAAAAATCTTCTTTTAAAGAACCCAAAGAGCTAGAGCTAAGATATTTAGCATGAAACATGTTCTAATGGGTGTCTACCAAGTTTGTTCAAATAAAAGCCCTGGGGTCAAAATTGGCCCCGCCCTGGGGGTCATTGATTTTCCCTATATGCATATAGTAAAATCTTAAAAAATCTTCTTTTAAAGAACTCAAAGAGCTATGGCTAAGATATTGAGCATCAAACATTTTCTAATCAGTGTCTACCAAGTTTGTTCAAATAAAAGCCCTGGGGTCAAAATTGGCCCCGCCCCGGGGGGTCATTGATTTTCCCTATATGCATATAGTAAAAACTTAAAAAATCTTCTTTTAAAGAACCAAAAGAGTTAGAGCTAAGATATTTAGCATGAAACATGTTCTAATAAGTGTCTACCAAGTTTGTTCAAATAAAAGCCCTGGGGTCAAAATTGGCCCCGCCCCGGGGGGTCATTGATTTTCCCTATATGCATATAGTAAAAACTTAAAAAATCTTCTTTTAAAGAACCCAAAGAGCTAGAGCTAAGATATTAAGCATGAAACATCTTCTAATGGGTGTCTACCAAGTTTGTTCAAATAAAAGCCCCGGGGTCAAAATTGGGTCCGCCCCAGGGGGTCATTGATTTTCCCTATATGTATATAGTAAAAACTTAAAAAATATTCTTTTAAAGAACCAAAAGAGTTAGAGCTAAGATATTTAGCATGAAATATCTTCTAATGGATGTCTACCAAGTTTGTTCAAATAAAAGCCCTAGGGTCAAAATTGGCCCCGCCCCAGGGGTCATTGATTTTCTTTATATGTGTATAGCAAAAACTTAAAATAATCTTTGAAAAAACCCAAATAGCTAGAGTTTAGATATTAAGCATGAAACATCTTCTAGTAAGTGTCTACAAAGTTTGTTAAGATAAAAGCCCTTGGGTCAAAACTGGCCAGGCCCCATGGGTGTCATTGTTTTTAACTATATGTGTATAGTAAAAACTTTAAAAAAATCTTCTTTTAAAAAGCCCAATGAGCTAAAGCTTAGATGTTTAGCATGAAACATCTTCTTATGGGTGTCTACCGAATTTGTGCAAATAAAAGCCCTTGGGTTAAATTGGCCCTGCAATGTTGGGGGGTGGTTGGGGGGGCCTATATACAGGTGAGCGACCTCAGGGCCATCATGGCCCTCTTGTTTGCTGTTGTGACTTGTCACTTGTCATCCTGTATAGATTTTTGTATGTCAATGGAAACATAATAATTCATTTATTTATGGATGCTATTTTGACTTTCACAAATTTGCACGAGAGTTTTTATGTATTTAAGCACAATGAAATTTTGACAATAGGTGATGAATTTTGGTAGCAAACAATTCAACAATAAAATATTTTAACATTTTTAAAACAGGAAGGGGGGAGGCAAATGGGGGATGCTGGAATAATTGCTTAGTGCATTCAATAAACATTATCTTGTTTAAAATATGTATCCGGATTTTGTAAGACAGGAACATTATGACAATCATTTACATTTTATTTCAATTTTTAATTTTTGATTACATTTTATGTTTTCTTTGTCTACGCTTTGGCAGGTCAATTTTTTCACGTGTATTTCATGACCGGGTCTGTCCGACTAGAACAGACCTGTGCATGTGCAAAAGATAGACCTCATAACAGACTTTCTTTTGTTTAAACCAGTCTATCCGAAAAATATAGACCTGTCACAAACAATAGAGGAGGTGTGTAATGTAAGTAATTAACTATAATTAATTTCTACATTTTAAATCCAAATAGACGAGGAGTTGGCCAGGCAACTACAGGAAGAAGAGAATGCTTATATTAAACCAGGGAACCAAAATCAAATTGAAGATAATGTCCCCAGAGGTAGAAAAGCTACCCCTTTAGTTGGCTTGTCTGTTGTGGGAACCATTCCACAACATAAAGAACCAGTAGCATGGAATAGAGGGAAACAAACTTTGGCAGAAATAATGCAGGAAGAGAAAAGAATTCAGGAAAGCCAGAAAGAGTTTGTAAGTTTTTATAAATTATATTTTTAATTTTTACCCTGCTTAAGTTTTAAACAAATTAACCATGGTTTAACTTTGAAATTAGCTTGGCTATTTAAAGAATAGGGAGAGCTTTTGTAATCCTTCTGTGCTGGCCTCGTACTTTGATTAAGTTTTTTTTAGCAAGTTATCATCTAAGGGTGTTGGTTGAAACTAACACTTATTAGAAAGTATGATAGGTGGTCACTTTCCAAGGCCCATAACTCGAACATGGATTTTGACAGAATTATTGCCCTTTTTTGAACAAAGAAAGTTCCACATTATCTATGCTCTTCATATTACTATCAACCACTGAGAGTAGTTGAGCATTCTGTTCTACTGACAGCTCTTTACATGTATGTATTTTAAACTTAAACTTGAAGAATAATCATGTCAGCATATGTATACAGTGTATACAGACTATACAGTGTAAGAAGTATAGAAGAATGTTCTAAGATACGATATGTAATATATTTCTAGGTAAGATTGCTGGAGAAGGAAGGGGGACCGACTGCTATGGCTACTTGCTTGAAAAGACAGAAACTGTATGGAAGGTTTCCTACGCTGGATAAAAAACTACTGGATGAAATATTTCAGGCAAATTGGTTAGTGAAAATTCTGATTTGTTACTGATAATAACATTATTAAAACATAAGTAACATATAAGATGTAGATAGCAGGGTAAGGTACAAAAAGAACACAAATACCAGGAGAATTTTGAATGTTTGGGTACTGAAAGCAACATAAGATAATGCATGCTATAATATTTGTTTAACCCTTCAGCTGCCTTCTATTATGAGACTGTCTATGATCAGTTTTGGGAATATCCAAATAAAAAATTTGAAGTTTGTTAGCTAACAGTATATAGTGGCCTTGTTAGACTGCACAGATTTGCAGGTTGTGGCTTCATACTGGTGGCAAAGGTCCCAATGGTATAATGGTTAAAAGGGTAAAATTGTATGTTTTGTTTGATGTTATATGCAATTCATTGTTTCAGCTTCAACTTATCTGAGACAATAGATTCCATAGCATCATCACTTGGGGAAGGTCACATGGGGACTACATCGGTTACCATGGCAACAGATCAGAAAGTTCAGGACGAGAAACTTTTAGAAGCAACAAAACAACAAAGCATGCAGGAAATGGTATAACTCATTCTTTATGTGGATAAGTCCTTCTACCTACAATTTCTGATTTAGGTATTTCAAAGGCCTTTAAAGACCCCTTAAGCTTCTGATTTAGGTATTTCAAAGGCCTTTAAAGACCCCTTAAGCTTATATAAATGGTACTTTTTACATTTTATTAGCTTTTTATTTTGTGATGTCCTGTTAAGGTTTTAAAGTGTTACTAGTTGACCATATAGCTGGGCCATCTTTTTGTATCATACTTCTTTTGCATTTTGGCATTCAGAATAGTTTTAATGATTAAGAATTTTGTATGGAAGTTAGAATAACACTTTTAGTTTATGTTTTGCTGCTTTTAGCAGAAATTATTTCACATTCGATGTAAAAACTTCTTCATCTTAAATGTTTGTACAACATTATAAAACACTTTAGCCCTTCTGATGAAAAATTGCAAGTCATTATTAAAAAAATCCACTTACAAGAACTTTTTCTTTAACTTTTTCGATAATTAAAATATTTTTCATTTTCAATTAAAGAAAATAAATGCCACCTTTATAACATTGTCTCAAGTATGACATTAGAAATTGGTGTGTTTTCAGCTTGACTCGTATATCTACCATCCAGTGGTTAGTAAAGACTACCAGGATGGTATGGAGCCAGAATACGAGGATTACCGGGGTGAAGCTAATTTACATTTCCGACTGAGACATGAATGTTTCCAGAAAGCCAGGGAAGCTCACAGACGCGGTCTTAAACAAGTTGCATCTTTCTACTCACAGCAGGTGAGACAAGTGGAAATATGATAATATCTATTTCATTCATAAATATATATTGAATCTATTTGAATTACTAAATAAATTACTAACGTACCTGATGGATTTGATATTTGTATTTTACAAGAATAATTAGAATTTACAAAGTGTTATTTCATATCGCTTCTTACCTGATTTAATATTTGTATTTGACAAGAAAAACAAGAAGTTACACAGGTATTTTGAAATGTGTTACTGTTCTTGTTGACCTCAGTGAAGGGATAGGTATTGTAGTATGTAAAGTTATGATATTGTTATAGCCATTAACTTGTATAAACCACTGACTTGCAAAAACTTTCATGTAGAATAACTTTTAATCTGATTTTCAATTGCCATATTTGGTATATCTCCACAGAATATCTCCAGGTAAATATATCACAAATGTTAAATCTCTGACTGGTACAGTATAATACAATTATAACTTTTGGTCCCCCTTGTGACTGAGGGGTTGCATTTGATAGGTTGAGACATCAAAATTGCAGCCACTGTTTATCCCTGTGTTATCCTAAGAGGTGACTGAATGGGTTTGAATTACAAAAAATTATATTTGGTACTCTGAATTTGAGCAAAAAATTAAAATGTGTATTAATTTTCTCAAGTTCATTTTAAGTTATAAAATGTACTTTTCTTAAGAAAAGGTGTATATTTATTATAGGGTCACCAACATACACAGAAAATAAAAGAGGCCAACATGAGAGCATCAGAATATATCCTTGCAGAAAGGTTTGTACTTAACATAAATTGTTCTACTTCCCAGAATAATGAAAATGATATTTTATATACACTGTTTTCATGTTTTACTTTGATCCTATTTTTAAAGTTGAGAATAAGTTAAATGTTTGAAACATGCTTGCTGTTATGTAAATGACTTGTTTCTTTAGGAAGGAATTATTTGTTGTTGGTTACATGATTTCAAGTCATTGTTCCATATATAAAGGAAGAATGCTTTACCTTTAAAATGTGCATGTTTTTTAAAAAAAATCTGTTTTAATGATTTTGAATTTATTACACAAACTTGTAATGGCACTTTAGATTTCAATAAATTTGTCCTCTTTCCTTACTATGGTAGATATAGTTGATATACATGTATTTAACCATTGTTGAATAACTGTTTATGATATAATTTGTTAAAATGTGTTACATTTTCTCTGTAGAAATCATGACATAGTGAAGAACACTCTAGATCTTCATGGATTACATGTTGATGAGGCAATGGCTGCCCTCAACAGGATTATACCAGAGAAAGAAAGAGGTACATGTCTTATTACATCAACAGTTTAATTTTAACCCCTGATGCTATATTTCTATAGTGGGCTAAGTCTTACAGAAGTTTTTAATATGGTCATAATCAGGAGTAAAATAATGTGGTTAAACTCATATTGTGACACAGTCAACCAGGGTTGAATGTTTTAGAGAAAAATCACACAGAAGGAATAAAGTTGAATAAAGTCAGACGTGTATTAAAAAGTATAAGAATACATGTTTCTATAAATATCAAACAGGTCAGTTACCTATCGGATATATATATTGATTGTTTACTATAAGTCAATGACATGAGTACCTATCCTAAACCTCAGCATGTTAATTGATATTAACATGTAGCTTTAATGGTTACAGATCATTGTAAGAAGCTGACCATTATAACAGGACGTGGTAGTCACAGTCGTGGAGGAGTGGCCAGACTTAGACCATCAGTTATTGCTTTTCTAAATGCACATAAATACAGGTAAGTCTATCTAAATGCCCACCTGGTATTAAAGCTCTCAGCCAAAAAAAATACATAAAATCAAAGGAAAAAGACATTTTTGGTATTAAATGTCTAAATGTTCAATATCCAATATAACACTGTGGCAATGTATTCAAAATAAGAGAGCATTTATTATTTTTATCACCATGTTTCTACCATAATATATTAAGGGCTATTTCTTCATATTTTAAGATTATTTCTGTTTCTTTACATAGTAAGTTGTAATTTTAAGTTTGCAGTCTGATCAGGATCCATGCTGTTCGCTATCAGTTTCTCTACTCGTAATAGAGTTGGTAAGCGAACAGCATGGATCCTGATCAGACTGCGCGGATGCGCAGGCTGGTCTGGATCCATGCTGGTCGCAAACCCATTATGTTGGTTTTGTCGTGACACGGCTCAATTATGAATCAGCTGTCTACTACTATTTAAAGGAAGAGAGTGATGAAGAGAATAATTAAATGACCATTGTAACATATAGTCAAGTCAGTCTTGCCACTTTTTTATTGGTTGGTTGATTGATTGATTGATTGATTGGGTTGGTTGGTTGATAGATTGTTTGTTTGATTGATTGATTGATTTGGAAATACATGTACAACAAGTTAAAATTGCATCATTATAAGATGTACATAAAACAGAAACAGCATGTAAAACTTTACAAGTAAGCAATTTAAATTTTTATTTTCAGTTATACGGAGCTGCAAACAGGTGTTTTTAACGTATCTTTGAAAAAATACAGATCACCAGATAAATAGAATCATGCAAAACAGATTTTATAGAACACAACCTGCAATATGTCATGTACATCAAGTTTTTACCTTGTTAATACGTGTTTCCTGAAGATAAGAGAATCAAGGTGTAAACAACTGACATAAGCTATAGATTAATCAATAATGTGTTGTTATATGCTATTGCTGCTTTGGGGGTTTTTTTGTTATCATATTTTTTTTTAAAGTTATGTTTTATACTCTGAAGTCAAGTTTTCTTATTTATACAAGGAAAAGTTAGAAATATTGAAATGAAATTGCTGTGATATACTAATTATTACTTCCTCCCCCCTTTCACTGCATGTAAACACAGCACGACAATTAGATGACATTTAAAGTTTAATATGTTAATACAAAATTATTTGAAACATGTTTGCATTCAAAAATTCTGTTGATAGGTGACTGTTTTGTTAGTAAAGAAAATATAAATGAAAAGGGCATAAGTTAAGAGAGTACTGTTATAGCTTTAATAAGTACAGTCAGTGATAAGAAATCCATTATTATTATTATAGAATGTTTAGTTTGGAATTAGATACATATGATATTAAATACAACTTGTATATTTTGAGCAACTCTATATGAGTTGTTTATGTAAATAATCTAGATTTTATGAACTTCTCATGCCTTCATGTTAGTTCATATATATGCAAGGTTTATCCTATCTCATACTGGTGAGATAATAATATATATATATTTTTTTTTCATTAAGTACATGAATGTTACATGTACATAAAATATAACAGATATTTTTAAAGTGACAAATATGCGTAACTGCTGAGTGTTATTTATTAGATTAATAAATTACCCGTCAGTATTGCATATGTTTATTTTGTTTATATGAACTTGTATATTAATTTAACATGTATGTCAGATTAGTGAGGCACAGTAAAACAGCATCATGAACAGTCTCAGTGTTTGGTTGGTTTTCTTTTCTCACTAGGAACTTTAGCCATGTTTAGTTTTGTAACAGTGACATATATAGAGGATATTGAATGAGTGTAAATTCAATACTGAATTTATTGCACGAGTTGAATAAAATTATATTATGCGAGCCTCTGGCGAGCATAATATTATTTTATTCAACGAGTGCAATAAATTCAGTATTGAACTTACACGAATTTAATATTCTATTTATCACATACCCAAAATAAAGACCGTTTCAAGTGAAATAAGAGTCATTTTTCATTGACGCGCCTATAGTATAACGCTAACATTTAGCGCGTCTTTACACTATGTTTGTATAACGCTAATGACGTCACGTCAAAATATATGCACGGCCGTGCAATACCATATTTACGGAGTCGCAAAATCGGCACGGGTGTGTGATAAAATGTAAGCCGAATTTATCTTTAACTTCATAAATATTTTACATATATTTTGTAGTTAATTTTATACAAACATTTGAGGAATAGGAAGCAATAAAGGGTAGTATTATAAGTAAAACAGCAATATTTATGTTTTAAGATTTACTTACCACTTAACTGTACCTGATATTATTATTATTATCATTATTATGATTATTATTATCATTGTAATTTTGGCTCAGGCATATTGTATATAATTATTCAGACTTGTGTTATTTTCATAGACTGAAGACTTGTTTTACCATACACTATGATGTTACTGTTTTACTGTGCCAATTTATCTGCTTATATTTTTATACATATTACACATGTGATCATCTTATTTATGTATATGAAATGTGTAAATAGATTTACTGTTTGTATATTTGTACATTAATCATAATTTGTCCATCAAATATTGCACTAATTTCTACCTGAAACAGTACATGTGATTGAAAAAAAAACATGCTCTTTTTGAAAGTGTATTTTTTGTGTCTTTTTTTTTTTTTTTTAATATGATAAAACATAAATATTATAAGTTCAGTTAAAGCCACATAATAATAGTTTACGCTTCGCTTTCATAGTTCAAACAAAACTGTCTTGAGTTTGACTGTTCAGGTCTTTTTATAAGTAGGTTTGTGAAAATGTCCACATTGGCGGCAATACAAGCTCACTATGAAGAAGAAAAAAAACCTTCTTCTCTCCATTATTTCATAAGTGTTTGACAGGGTTTTTCACTTTCTACACAGATTTTGTAATTATTAAAAAATAACAACTAGCATCATCTTTCACATGTAAAATTACTTATTGTACTCACCATATTCATCAAATACTGATAGATAATTTTTATTTTTAAAGGAGAATTTTTTAATTTTCTCAACAAAGTCTTTATTGTTGACTTTTAATAGATTTTAAGCATTTCGCCGCTAAATCTATATACCATAATTGAATTGCTATGCTATGAATTAGGAGTACTACAATTTTAGAATTTGGCGGCCATTTGTATAGTGAGAACATATAAGCTGACTTTAC